GGAAGGAAGGAAGGAAGGAAGGAAGGAAGGAAGGAAGGAAGGAAGGAAGGAAGGAAGGAAGGAAGGAAGGAAGGAGAGGGGAGGCAACGGGTGGAAACCTCTCAGAGGGACTTGAACCTAGAAATAAAGAGAAATTTTCTGCCCGTGAGAACAATTAACCAGTGGAACTCCTTGCCTCCAGAAGTGAATGCTCCAACACTGCAGGTTTTTCAGAACAGACCGGACAGCCATTTGACTGGGACGGTATAAGCTCTCCTGCTTGGGCAGGGGGCTGGACTAGAAGACCTCCCAGGTCCCTTCCAGCCCTAGCATTCTATCTTCTATATGTCTCTCTCTTCCCTGCTGCCCCCTGCTCCTCCTCCACCCATCCACCTTGTCCAAAACCCCACGTGCAAACGAACCCAGGCGGCCACCCTCCAAATAAACCACAATCCCTTCGGCCCTTCGGCCCCCATGGCCCGGCTTAGCCCTCCCCTCCTCAGACCGGTACGCTCCCACAGAGTGGGCCTCCTCAGGGTGCCGTCGGCCAAGCAATGTCGGCTGGCGACCCCCAGGGGGAGGGCCTTCTCTGTGGGTGCCCCTACCCTCTGGAACGAACTACCCCCCGAGATCCGGACGATTCCGGATCTCCTAGCTTTCCGTCGCGCCCTCAAGACATGGCTCTTCCAGCAAGCGGACCTGACCTAGGGAGGATTTTATACGGGGTTTATTTTTTTAGCAATTTGACAGAGACACAACTTTAAAATTTGATTTAATTCGGTTTTATCGGGGGGGGGAATGTATTTATGTTTTGTTTTAAATATGTTGTGCGCCGCCCTGAGTCCCGTCGGGAGAAGGGCGGCATATAAATTAAATAAAATAAATAAATAAATAAAATAAAATAAAGCAGCCCCTCCAGGCGGCACAATCCTTGTTTTTCCCCCCTCCCCAAAGAAGGGGGGGCTCAGCTGATGCTCCCTCTTTTCCCCCATCCCACAGTAATCTTTTTTGACCCCCCCCCCCCTCCTCTGGACTGTCTCAGGAGAAGAAGTACCACTTACAAGAGAGGGTGGACAAGGTGAAGAAGAGGGTGAAGGACGTGGAGGAGAAATCGAAGGAATTTGTCCAGAAAGTGGAGGAAAAAAGCATCGACCTCATTCAGAAATGGGAAGAGAAGTCGCGGGAATTCATCGGCAACTTCTTGGAGATGTTCGGCCCTGAAGGCGCCTTGGTAATTGTGTGTTTGTGTGTGTTTGTGTGTGTTCAAATTCCCGTTCTTGGGCGGTCTCGGGGGCTTGTGACTTGGATCCCCTCCAGTCTGTTTAAAAGAAATTTATAGGGTTTCTTAATCAAATTCTCATCTGTTTTTAACAAAATTTTATCTAATGGAGTCTGTTCTTTATCAAATCCTGTTAATTTTTATATCTTTTTCATATCTTGTTTGAATTTGCAAATAGGACCACCATGTCAAGTCAATACCTTGTGGCTGAAGAGTTTGCCTGTCTTTTAATTTTCCCTCTTTGTCCAAAATATCTTTATAACTAACCAGTTTATCATAGTTAATCAGGTTTGGATAAGCGAATGCTTCCACTGTTGAAAGCCACTCAGGTATTTTCATATATATATTATGCCTGATTTTCTCCCACTCTGAAAGTAGTACGTTCCTTAGGGTGTGATTTTGAAAGTATTTATGCGCTTTAGTTTTCTCATACCATATAAAAGCATGCCAGCCTAGTTGAAGATCATGTCCCTCTAAATAAAGCATTCTTTTATTTCTCAATACAATCCATTCTTTGAGCCAAAGCAGAATAGCTGCTTGATAATAAAGTCTCCAATCTGGAAGTCCAAAGCCCCCTCTATCTTTAGAGTCTTGTAACAGTTTACATTTGATTCTAGCTTTCTTTTTTTGCCATATAAATCTTAGAATCATTGCATTTAGATCATCAAAAAAAAAAAAATCTTAGTAAGTTTAACAGGAACTGTTTGGAATAGAAAAATTAGCTTTGCTAAAATGTTCATCTTAACCGTCGCTATTCTTCCTAGGAGTGATAATTGAAGATAATTGAAGATTAGTCTGAAGCAGCTGTGAAATTGGTCCTCAGTTTACAGCCAATCCGTTGAGCGACCGTTCGGCGTTTCAACCGCGCTGAAAAAAAAAAAGGGACTCAGGATCCTTTGTCACGCTTAGCGACCGTTTTGGTCTGTTTAGCGCCTTCTTGGGAAAATAACCCCTTGTCGAGCGTAACTAAGTCTGGGGAGATTCTCAGCGTCCCAAAAGCCCTTTCCTAAAAGGCAACTTGGACTTTCTCTGCCTTTTTTTGTGTGTTTTTCCTTCAAAACATTTTGCTTCTCATCCAGAACCGAAGAAGCTTCTTGAATCAGAAGCGAAACCTTTTCAAGGGGGTGCAAAAAAAACCCCCCAAGAATGTTCAGTTGCCTTTTGGGAAAAGCGCCGTCGGGACGATGGCTGAAGTTCTTCAGTTCCTCGTGCGGTCGTTAAGCGAATCCGGCTTCCCCTGTTGACGTTGAAGGTCGCAAAACGGGGATCCCGTGACCCACACACACACACACAAACCGGGACACGCTGAGACCGTCGTAAATACGAGCCCGTGGCCAAGCGTCCGAATTTTCATCCCGGGGACACTCCAACGGTCGTCCGTGTGGGAAACCCGTAAGTCCCTTTTTGCCATGTCCTCGGGACGCCGAGTGGTCACTAAACGAAACGGTCGTAACTTGAGGACTTAGCTATATCTGTTTGAAAGTGGACTCTCTTTTGAAAAATCTTTTACAAGATTTTATTAATTTTTCCCACAGATGCAATAATAATTTTTCAACCAACGTGCTGTCTTGAGTTTAAATACGCTAATACAGGGGTAGGCAAACTTGGCTCTTTTATGACTGGTGGACTTCAACTCCCAGAATTCCTCAGCCAGCGTGGGGGAACTATGGCCCCCTTCATGACTCGTGGACTTCAACTCCCAGAATTCCTGAGCCAGCATGGGGGAACTATGGCCCCCTCATGACTCCAGGACTTCAACTCCCAGAATTCCTCAGCCAGCATGGCTCAGCTTGGAAACCTCTCCCTTTCCCCTCAGCATGGCTGGCTCAGGAATTCTGGGAGTTGAAGTCCACGAGTCATAAAAGAGCCCAGGTTGCCTACCCTTGCGCTAATACGTATTTAATTCCTAATCCTTTATTCTTTCCTCTAACCATCGGTAAAATAAGTCCCCAAGTTTGATAATATTCCGTGTCTTCTTTTTCCTTCAGTCTCATAGTCAAATCTGTCCATCTCTGCCCATTCCAGTGTTTTTTTGAATTATTTCTTCATCTGGTGGTATCCCTTCCTTTTTCCAAATATTATTCTTGCCGCTGTTGTGACGTGCAAAATCAAATATAGGCTTTGTTTGTTAGACTTTTCTGGCAGTATACCTAATTAAAAAAAAAGTTCAGGTTTAAAATCTACGTATTCTCCCAACGTCTTTTCTAACCAAGGAGAGAAGTAACCTAGAACTAAGGAGAACCTGACAGTGAGAACAATTAACCAGTGGAACCACCTGCCTCCAGAAGCGGTGAATGCTCCAAAACTGGAAGTTTTTAAGAAGAGACTGGACAGCCCTTTGTCCGGAATGGTGTAGGGTTTCCTGCCTGAGCAGAGGGTTGGACTAGATGACCTCCAAGATCCCTTCCAACTCTGTTATTCTGTTATTCTTTTTTTCCTTCCTTCCTTCCTTCCTTCCTTCCTATTTTTCTTCCTTTTCTTATTTCCTTCTTCTATCTCTATCTTTTCTTCTTCTCATTTCTCTTTCCCATTTCCTTTCCTTCCTTCTCAATTCCTTCCTTCCTTCTTTCCTTCTTCTATTACCTTCCTTTCTTCTCATTTCTCTTTCCCCTTTCCTTCCTTCCTTCCTGTTTTTCTTCCTTTTCTTATTCCCTTCTTCTATCTCTATCTTTTCTTCTTCTCATTTCTCTTTCCCATTTCCCTTCCTTCCTTCCTTCCCTCCCTCCTTCTTTCCCTCCCTCCCTTCTCCAACAGTGGAAGTTTTTAAGAAGAGACAGGACAGCCCTTTGTCTGAAATGGTCTAGGGTTTCCTGCCTGAGCAGGGGGTTGGACTAGATGACCTCCAAGGTCCCTTCCAACTTTTTATTATGAATGATGATGATGATTATGTATCTTTTTCCAATAATTCCTTCCTTCCTTTCCCCTCCCTCCAGAAGCACATGCTGAAAGAAGGGAAGGGACGGATGCTGCAGGCCATCAGCCCCAAGCAGAGTCCCAGCAGCAGCCCCACGCACGACCGCTCGCCCTCGCCTTCTTTCCGCTGGCCCTTCACCGCCCGGACGCCCCCGCTGTCTCCAGCCGGCCTCCCCCGGAACAAGTCCACGGCCAGCTACGACATCAGCGAGGATGAGGAGGACTGAGCCGGACCCCCGGGGAAACCACGAGCCCCTGGAGGAGGAGGGGGGGTGAGAACCCTGTGAAAACTCCTCCGGGTTCCCGAAACGCAAGAACCGAGAACGGCGGCACCGCCGAAGGGATCTTCTCTCCCCCAGCCTCCGGGAGCTGGGACACCGCCCTGGCATTTCCCCCCTTTTTATTTTTCCCTTTTCCTGGTTTGTTTCTCGCCCCTTCGGCGGGACGGAGGGAAACGGAGGCGGGGGGGGCTCTTTGTTTTAAAAGCAAACCTTTTATTTGTTCCCGTTAGCCGAAGCTTTCGGTGGGGCTGGGAGGGGCAAAGGGGGGGGGAGAGAAAATCTCTCGCCCAGCCCTTCCCTTCGGCTTCTTGCGTGGCCGTCTCTGCTTCTCCCGTCGGCCGGGGTCCTCGGTTTGCGGGAAGCAGAGGCCCTTCAAGTGGGTGCAACCGGGGAAGGTTAGTAGGGGGCAGGAAGCTGCAAAACGGCCGCTCTGCACGCCTGGGGGGGGGAGAGAGAGGGTCCTCTCTCAGCCTCCCCACGTTTCTAGTCCTCAAGAGAGGAAAAAGCAGAGGAGAATCAGGCCAAGCTTCAGGGCTTCCCCGAGGGACTCGCTCCTGGGTTGAAGGATGTCCCCCGCTCTTCCTGTGTGGGACCCCCCCCCCAAAAAATGAAAGCAGCCTTTTCGCTTCCTTTTGAAATGTCCTGCAAGGGGTCAGAGCTGCAGGTGCACCAGGGGGCGGGCGGGTGGGGGGAGAGGCGGTGAACTCTCTGTTCCCAGGCTGTCGTTGTGGGTCCCTGGTTGTGCTGAAAAGCCGCAAGCTTGACAGATTGTCCCCTGCTCCTGGCTCTCTCGCCCCCCCTCCCTCCCCAAACTATTGGCAGGGGGCTGTGGGGCACCCCATTGAAGTAACATTTCGCCCTTTGGCGCCCTGTCCCGTCGCCAAATCTCTGCGGGAGGCCGGTCTTTGCGCCCACGTTGCCCCGAAAGGCTTTTCTCTTCTCGCGCATCCGACGGGCGCCCCGCGCTGTCGAGAATCGGCCCGGATTTCGCCCCGTGGCCAAACGAGGGAAGCCCCATAAGGCACGCCACGAGCCGAGGTGGGTGCACGGTCATCCCCCAGACGGCAGGATTCGGAGTGCGCGCCTGGCCCTCTGTCGCCGCCCCGCTCCTCTGGAGGACGCTGAGCCACATCTGGGGGGGGGGACAGCGTCTCGTCCCGGCGCAGCGCAGCGCCCGTTCGTTAGGAACCCACTTCTCGTTAGCTGTTGTTCTTAACTATGTAATAAATGTTCGGGTTTGACTGACCGTCTGGGTAGCTTTGCCTGCGTCTGAATGGTGTTTTCCGAGTTTGGCTGGGCCTCCGTTCTTTTCCTGCTCTCCTTCCTGCAACCCCCAAAGGGTGGCTTGAGTGCAGGGGGTTTGTGAGTCCGTTTCCTACGCAGGATGCACACTCGCACTCCTCCCAAGGGCCAGCAGCGTCGTGATCTGGACGCGAACAGCTCAAGCAGAGAAGCTCCACTCCCGCCAACACTGACGGGGCAAGCCACTAGGACAGTGGTTCTCAACCTTTTTAATGCCGCGACCCCAACCGGTCGTAAGTCGAGGACTAAACCGGTCGTAAGTCGAGGACTAAACCGGTCGTAAGTCGAGGACTACCCAACCGGTCGTAAGTCGAGGACTTTCCCTGCCCGGGAGCGCCGC